GTGTATATAATGGTTTGGCTAGCTTAGGATTGGCGTAATTTTAGTGGCTCAGGCGCTATAACTTCTACTACTTAATTATATGAGGTTGTTGGTTAATTTAGTGATCGTTACAATTAGTTGGGAATGTGCATGTTATTTTAGAGATCAATGGCTATTGCCATTGGATGTTTTGTTGAGATGGGATCACTTTCACTAATCAAAGTGTATTTGGATGGTGAATTTAAAAGGAGTAATTTTTTTTTTTTTAAAGAATTTCAAATGTGTTGAGATGAAATGTTTTGTACGGTCTTCAACATTGATTCTCGGAACCATTACATTAATAAAAGATCGTGCGCGTTCTTGTATACTCTTGATGGTGACTGAAATTTGTCATTACATCGATCTAACGGTGTCTTTCAAATCATAAATTTTATATGCTCAATCTCTTAAAGTTTACTATACTTGTTCTCTCCAGTTATTTAAAAGTTTTTTATGCTTATTTTCTCTTCAAATCTGTAACAGGGCTGAATTGATGAAAAAATTAAACGGTGCTTACTTTCCTGAGGAGGTATTGTTGTCCCAAGTTTGTGAGTTTGTGTTTTTTTATGCATGTATTCTTTTCCCATGGCTTACTTTGAATGTTGTTGAAATTGCTCAGAAACTCTGCAAATGGTTCACTCAATTACTGTTGGAAGTGGAATACCTGCATTCAAATTTTGTTTTACATCGTGACCTAAAGGTATACTTTTATGAAACAGACTATATGGTCTATGATTCTTGTCTTTCATTTTAAATGTATTAAGTCTGATTTTGTTGACTCTGTTGACAGTGTTCCAACATCTTTCTTATCAAGGATCAGGATGTTCGCCTAGGTGAGTTCACCTACCTACCCATCTTTGATTATATTGGAGATAGATTTTTAAGTCCTCATCTGAATTTGTCCTTATTTTTCTGTCATGTAGGGGATTTTGGGCTTGCTAAGACACTAAAAGTAGATGATTTGGCATCTTCGGTATGTGTAACACTGGGAACATGTTGCTTTCTTCTTTATCTTTTTTTTTTTTGCTCAAAAAAGATCTCTAAGATTCATGCAAAACATTTTTCCTATCAAGTTTCCATAGCACTAATGCATTATGCAGAATTACGGTTTTAGAGTTTTTCATCTTTAAATCATAACCTTTTCTTTCTAGGTCTTGTGTAGACTTATAGAGATATACTAAGAAGACATCAATTCTAATTGTCAAATAGGCATGCATAGTTATTTGGACATCTAATTTTTGCTCCATAATACTTTATCTGTTTATGAGAACCAGAAGCTTCAGCATTTTTAATTGTTACTGAGCTTTTCGTCTATTGGCCAAGCCAGCCAAGGACTAATAATATCATCTGAACTATGTTTAGTTAAAATTATCCTATTGTTAAATTTATTTGTTCCTTCACACCTTACATTTCATTTATTTTTTCTATTGAAACTAGACGTTCACCAAAACATTTTTCATTTTAAAGTAACAGAAAGTATGGTCGACGGAAATAATTTGTTTAATCAGTTCCCTTTTCTTCAAAAAAAGGGGAACAATAATGTTTGCTTCATGCAAAACATAAATTTTCAGCCCCATACCCTTCCCTCTAGTGAGCAAGCCTTATTTTCCTGATCCTTTTAAGTTACAAACTATATTTCAGACAAAGAAAATAGTGGAAATAGGAATTGAGTGTTGTTTGAGTGAACTGAATTTGCTTTCTTGCTTGAAATTTGATAGATAAGAAAAGTGTTATTGCTCTTATTGATAATAGGACAAGATCTTTTCTAGAATTTGGGCTCTTTCAGCTGAGAGACCTTGCTGTTGCAAACTTGTTTATTATCTCTCATATTTTGTGTGGACAAAATTCATATTTTAATAATGTTCAACTTCTAAAGGTTTGAAATATGACAATGCTACCAACTTTTAATTCCATATGATTAGTGTTACGCTTATATAAAAATTCATAGTAACCACATATTGAATTAATAATTGCTGTAAATGTTTCTATACAGGTGGTAGTAACTCCTAATTACATGTGCCCTGAACTGCTTGCTGATATTGGTCACTAGGTATGTACTTTACAACCTAGTATCTAATACTTGCAGATTTGGTTTTGCCGCAGCTAAAAAGCATTTTTCTTGCTCAGGGTGCTGTATATACGAGATGGCTGCTCATCGCCCTGCTTTTAAAGCTTTTGTAAGATTTCTTTTGATTTTTTACTTTAAAATAGTTATAGTTAGGATGTAATTCGTTTAATTGAAGAAGTAGATTGCAAGCTAAGTTTTTATCCGAGTTTGAAAAACTACCACCTACAAGATATGTTCTACTCAACATATAGTTTCCTATGAGTTTGAAAAGCTAAGTTTTATGTATAATTTTATGCAAAATAGTCTTATTTTACACTATGACATGGAAACTAATTATGCATAATTGCTATGGGTATTTAGATTTTAAAGATGTTTGATTTCATATTGTGGTTATAGGATATTTAAAGAAATATGAGAAGTGATTTTATTAATATTTCTGACCAGGTAAAACTATTTATAATGATTGGTGTGGAAAGGTAAAACAAAATAATCTCTGTTATGTTGAAATCAGTTATCTACGAAAATTTCCGCAGATAACTTACCTATGGAAATTTCCGTAGGTAAGTTATCTACGAAAATTTCCGTAGGTAAGTTATCTACGAAAATTTCCGTAGATAAGTTATCTACGGAAATTTCCATAGATAAACTCATCCGTAGATAAATTCTGTATCCGTAGATAAAATCTGTAGGTAACGTTATCTACGAAAAATTATCCGTAGATAACGTTATCTACGACCTTATTATCTACGGATTTTTTTTCTGTAGATAATCCGTAGATAATTATCAGTTATCTACGAATTTTCATCATTATCTATGGATTTTTTCCGTAGATAATGCTGATTTTTCTTGTAGTGTTGTCTTCAATAGTGTTTTTAATGATCTCTCACTAAGCCCAGTTATGTGGATTAAAAAGGGGCTGAATAGTTTTAATGATACTTGCATATGTGCGAGATGGAAACTCAAGATGCATAGGTGAATGTATGATGTATTCCTTGTTCCAACAAGAAATTCATGTGTATAAGCCTTGCCTAAAATGTAAGTGTTATGTCATGCTTAAGATAAAAGAATGAATGAGATGTATGTGTAACTCATTGGTTTGGCATGCCCTTTCTTCACTGTTTTGCTTGAATATAATGATTAAGAATACTTACAATGAATTGGTTGTTACCCTTGTGAGGGTTCAAAGGTTCACATGTCTTAGAATAGTGGATTTAAGCCTAACTCAACCCTACAAAACCGGCTTGTAAGGTGAGGGTTTCTTTCCACTTATATACTATTTAATTACCTAATCTCTATTCTCTAGTCGATGTGGGATTTGGGTTTTTTCCAGTACACCCCCCTCACATCCAGTATTATTGGGCTTGCTACGTGGATAAATGGTAGGTGACCCTTTTTTTAATGATCTAGGATTGGTAGGACTTGAATACACCCCTCATGCCCATGGTTCATGTATCAATGGTGGGTGACCCATTTTTAAGAATCTAGGACAACTCTGATACCATCTTAGAATAGTAAATTTAAGCCTAACTCAACCCTACAAAACTGGCTTGTAAGGTGAGGGTTGTTTTCCACTTATATACTATTTAATTGCCTAATCTCTAGTCGATATGAGACTTGGGTTTTTTCCAATAACATGTCTCTTGTGAATGTTTTTGGTTGCATGCCTCTTTGACTTGTGGAATTTCGATGAGGTTGATGAGTCATTTACTACAATATGCTACCTATGTCTGCGAATTCTATGCAAGTATCAATAATTGTGATTGATTCTATGATTGTAAATGTTGTAGTACTTTCTCTGTAATTTTGTTTGAGATTGATATTTGACTATATATGTTGCAATTGACTTCACCATAATTGTGTGTATAGAAAACACTATGAAATTACACAAGATCACTAGTGCAGAATAGTGATTCTATAACAGGATAAAATGTTGGTGGCTTTATAAAAAAAATACGGTGACATTTTTGTAAATAACACCACAATTTCTTTGTTGGCTGTATTTTAAATAACATAGAAAGTACTTTTTATATCGGTTTGGACAAGCAAGTGATATTCAAAGTACTTTCAATATAGGTCTGTTTGCTTCATCTATTTAAGAGATCCTACAATTATTTGACTTGAAATATTTATTTATTATTTTTTTATTTTTACTAATTGACATATTGATAATTTATGGGATACATTTGTAGGTTGTTTGGAGATAAAGTGCTCCCTTCAGCTAAAAGTTCTTGTGCTCCTCTTTGTCTCTCTTTCATCTTTCATAGCCACTCCTACCTTCTACGGGAATCTACAAAAGGCTATCCATTTCATCCTCTATGAAGTCTGTGAGTTTCTTATGGTTACGGTATCTCTTTGTCTCGTGTGCCTTATGTGTGTAGGGTCTTGTCAATGAACCTTCTAATTATACAATTCAGAGAAAGTTCTCTTCATGGTTTAAATTTTTGTGTTCTTTCCTGGGTTTTGCAGACATGTTTGGGCAAAGGTGGGGGCTTTCACTTCCCACCATGTCACATGCTAAATTTTTGTGGGATTAGAATCTTATTAGATTGCCCACTGGACCTTTCTTCTCTCTTGGTGTTTTCTCCTGTACCTGCTGCTTTTGATTTCTTGCCATCCGAAGAAAGCGGCAATACTGTGGCCAATGGTTTTCTTGATTCAAGAGTTGGGTCTGGGAAAAAACAAAATTGAAAAGCTCCTTGATGCTAAAAGCTTACTTTTTACTGAACCTTGGTACAAGACTGTTAATAACTTGCACCTGTGGAATTCTTCTTTCATTGATGTCGTATTAATCTCCAGTCTAATGGGTATTCTGGGATTGCCTTTTCTTACTCGAATGAAGGGTTTCTCAACTAAGGTACTCTTCTGATGTTGCAAGTTATTGTTATTATTACTGGACTATGTTCTTATTTTTGTTAATTTCTGTCACCTAATTTGTTAGCTTAATGTTTTTTCAATTGTTTGATATATATAACGGAAGCATCGGCAAGATTAGGCCAGCTAATGATGGAGGATCTTGTATCAATGCATGTGGAATTCAGTCAGTTTTATGGACCAGAGGAATCAAATTTCCCTGCATGGCTGAGGCAGGAAGAGCTTGAAATCCTTCCTTCTGAATTGAGAGAGATAATATTGGGAAAAGATGGAGTGGAGTTGGGTGGTTGGATGCCATTGTACAGGTGATCTACCATTAATTAGTTTGCATTTTATCTCAAAAAACTTACATGGAGCTATATATTCAATATCCAAAACTGCATGAAGTAGCTTGATTATTACATGCACTGGTTCTGTGTTGTTTTCTTGGGATTGATTAATTATATTTTTTAATTAATAAGTGATTTTGACTTGCTTATTGCTTCTTTGCTTGAGCTTTATCTTTAACTCTCAGACTAGAAAAAATGAGGGGAGAAAATTTTGAAATTTGAATGCAGACAAAATGGAAGGAGAGAAAAATTTGAACCTTTGTTTCTAAATTCAACTTTCCTCTCCTTTTTCTTTCTATTTTCTCTTCAACCAAATAAAACAAAAATACATCATTCTTTGTGTTTTCTCTCCTATTTTCGTTTTTGTCTCATCCAGACAAATCATAAGAGTCAGTGAAAATCTCATGACACCCCATTCAGGGTATGGGATGGGTATATTTAACACTCATTTGGATTCTGGGATTCTATCAGTGATTTGCCTTGTGTAATTTTTATACATATGATCATTTGGAAATTCTATATGTAATGTATTATATAGTCTTTGTTATTGTAGTTAAGCTGTTGCTTTTTACTCTGATATGTAAATCTTGCTGCTGTATCCATTTTCGTTTAGGTTTTAATTTTTGGAATTTCTCAGTGCAGGTGATGTGAAGGATTGCATGCTAAAGATTCACAAGCTTAATTATGCTGAGGAAGCTTGCTACAATGGTACATTAGTTATAAAAGCATTCAGCTCCGGTACAGAAATAGGAAGTTGTAATTGGATTCTAGGTAGTCCAAAGGGAGATATTACTTATCTTTCGGGATCCAACATCATTTCTGCACATGCAATGCCTTTTGATTACCGCAGTTTACAGGGGACTTGTGCATTAATTTATTCAGACTTCTTATCCTTTACTGATACTCAAGATGGCGAGGATGGGGATAGTAACTCTGTTCTAACTGCTGATAAGTTATTACCTATGAGGTATGAAATTTTATCCCCTTTCAAACTTTATGTCGTATCCACTAGACACTTAAAGTTATTGTTATTCAAGTTTTCATCCACTGGTTGTAGTAATGAATATTTATGTCTTTATATTGATTTCCATGTTGGTTATTACTGAAGTTCTCAAGATTTGGCTGGATTAAACCATAAATTTGACGAGAATTTAGAAGAAAAGAAAAAGTTGGTTTTCATATGCTCATGTGCAATAGACTGTATCAATGAAGGTTGTTCAGTTCTTATTCCTATAGACCGACTTGGAACTGTTTTGCTTCTTTTGGAGGAAATGACAACATTACTTGAAGCTTCAGATTTGAGGGTATCCTATTTTTTTTCCTTTTTTTGTCTATGTTTTTTATTAATCAATTATCAAAGTCAAGAAAAACTATGATGGAAATTTGGAATAATATTTTGGGTGTCATTAATTAGCCTTGTCCTGCAGTACCCCATACTCATCCTTTTTAGTTGCTTGTAAACTGCCTCTCTTTACAATACGTGGCATTTGCTTTAAGTTCTGTTTTCTTTTCTTTTTCTGATTTTCTAATTTTGTTTGTCAAGAGACAGACCAGACCAAATCCTTTTATTTTTTGTTTTAGTGCTTGTAATGGGATTTGGGAAAGACAGGGAATGTCAAAGTTCCATCTTTTATGAACTTGAAATCATTTAATTTTCTAGTCGAATAAACATGACTATTTGGAAAAAGGACATTTGGATATTACTCACTGACTTCTAGGTTCTAATATTTAGTAATTGCAATTTTATCCTTGCATTGCCTAGTAACTCAAAAACATCATGATAGCATACATATCCCATCAATAACTGTCAAGGAAAATGATACCTAGAGAGTTACACTTGTCCACTATGTTATATCCGCGCAAGAAATTACAAGGCCTAAATCTATCTTGGATATATCTTCAAAATTAACTCTAATATGATGATCTCACATCTTAAGGTCAATCTCACTAAACACACAACCATTCACTAATTAATCCATAAGGTCATCTATCCTCATATCCACATACATGCATATCATATTAGAATACCTATTTAAACCTTCATATATACATCCTTCCCAATCATATATATAAATCTATCACTATTTTACACCATATAACATGTGCATGAACTTAACTTTACCACATAGCATCATAAAACCTTGAATAACCTTACAATCCACATGACAACACCTCAGAACATCATAACAAAATCATTTTTATCCTTGCATTGCCTAGTAACTCAAAAACATCATGATAGCATACATATCCCATCAATAACTGTCAAGGAAAATGATACCTAGAGAGTTACACTTGTCCAACGATCTCAATCCTATCTCAAAAGAAAGATAAAAGAATAAGTTATAACTCTTATGAAGACATGAGATTCTGAATAGATCCTCTTCTCAGCTAACAATTCAAAATCACAACAGATATATTTAACGCTTATAACTAGCCTCTGATTACCAAAACAACTATAACTGAAGTTCTAAACCTTCATTTTATCTCATTCTAGTGCCATTGAAAAGATCACATCCAAGACTACAACTTCCATGAAGACCACAAAATCCAAATCTATCAATACGGTACTCCTACTAGCATAACACCTCTTGGACTTCTTGGCCTTAGTGCTATTCCATCAAACCTCCACAGGGCAAAGCTGAAGATATTTTGTCAACAAAGATGATCATTGATGCAATTCCTCTGAATGTTGATTACTTTATGGTGGATCCAAACATGAATGAACTAGAAGAATTTACATCGTCTGTACCACCATCTAATGATTTTGAAAATGGCAGCACAAAATTATGAGGAGATATAGGAGATGGCAAGAATGGAAGAGGAGATGTCTTCAAATGATGACTGGGTACCTCCAATTTATGACTCAACCAGATGTAGTGAGTTTCTCACTTTTAAAGACTGAGAATATGTGTCTCACAGAGGCCCCTGGCATCAACCTCAATCCTCCCTTGGCAAGGCAGGTGGTTGCGAGGGAGATCAATTTACAACATCCTCCATGTTTGGATAGTTAGACAATGCATATTGCCCGGCAACAACAAGCTGAGAAGCATAATTTGTTAAACTCTCAAGCCGTTATTGAGCTAAGCCTTGAAGGCACTTCTATAAATCTCCCTTTCATGCTCGAAGAGCCATATAGACCGTGGATGATTCAAACTTGGACCATGTTCTACACTGAAGACATTGTTTCCAAGCCTACTATTCACTCAATTTGTAAAGATAAGGAGAAAATGCCTCATTATGTTAAGGACAAATGCTTTGATCGCTTCGCTAGGCATCATACTTCTCAGGAGCTCTTACCAACATCTACCAAACCTGAATGGCTTCCTTCTCACAAAGGTCGATGCTTCATGGTCTGTCCTCCACCGTGCAAAATTGAGCCATCAAGCTCCAACACTTTTTCTATTAGAAAATGGTTGTATCGCTACTATTTCCCTTATGATGTTACTTTTCATAATTTTTTTCCTGGGAATATAACTTTTTTGTACAGAAAAGTGTTTAGGTTTTCAACCCCTAAATCTCCTAAATAGTGCACCTTGCCACCACCACAACCATCCTTTCCATCACTTCCTCCCCTAGCTAATGAAGAAGACTATGATTGGGTCATCGTCCGACCTTACAAAGCTCTACACTTCTCGCTTAATAGACAGGCACAACTTGAGTGGAAATTCAACAAGTTATTGTCTTAACTCAACATTGATCTGAGCTCATATGACGACGAAGCCTGATCTGGCTTTGGAGGTATCGTTGGCCTAACTTTTGTTAGTGCCAAGGGGAGTGAATTTTTTTAACTCAATTCTTGTTTGGTTTTTTTTGTTAATTTTTGCTCTGATTTGGATTTTGATTTCAAGTTGTGATCGATACTTTATTTTAAATGGTTTAACATTTTCATATTATGATTCTCTGCTTTACTCTTGAATATCATGGATGTTTTTAGGGGGAGTCTCCTATGCATTGCATATAGTCTAAGATAGTACATAAGATCTATATCGTTTGAATGCTCTGTGTTAAATCAAGTCTTAGTTGTTTTAATTTAGTCTGTTTTATCAAATTATTAGTTTTGCTGACATCACAATTGACAAAAAAAAATGTCAAAGTTTTTGGTAGTAAAAAATTGCCACAATTAATAAAAATGACCTAATTAAAAAACATAAAGAAATAAAAAATGCCAAAATAAAATTTTAAAAAGAGTTAGAAGAACAAATCTAAATAAACAAAATAAAGTTAAAGAATCAAATTATTAATTTTATTTAAATCTTAACATACCCATAATCATATTAAATAATAAAATATAATGTTACATATTTGTGGAATAAATCAATTGGCACTAAATACCAAAATTTATAAATTATGTTTTTTTATTAAAAAAAATGAATTTTATCTATCTACCTGTCTAATTATTAAATTTAAAAGTTCTTAAAAAAACACAACAACTTTATAAAATTTTACAACAATCTAAATTTTAATTGACATTTCATTCCTTTACTTAATTTTAACATATGCATACAGTTTTCAAATATATATGTATATATATGTATATATATATGTATGTATATATATATATATGCTTAAATATATTCAAAAATGTATGCTCTAATATATATAGTTTGGATAAATGATTTGATACCTTAGTATGACACAAACGCTATATTGTTTGTATGATAGAACTATGAAAATATGACAAATTACATGTCATAAGAAAAATCTTAGATATATGATTTAAGCAAAGTATTTTTTTCTTTTAAAAATACTTTTAGTTTTGTAATCAAAACTTTTTCAAAAGATTAAAATTCATTTCATCCTATCAAAAAAAAATTCTTTCAAAAATAAAACAAGATTGAACTTTTTAAAACTTGTTTGTCACCATCAAAAAGGTGGAGATTGTTAAATCAAAAGATGATCTTGGGTCTCTCAAATTTTTTCATAATCCACTTTGAAAACGGGACATTTTTTCTTTTTTCCTCCTTGCTTCATCAATAGCTTTATTGGCCACCAGTCGTATCTTCCCAAAAACTACATCAATATATTAAACTATTACATAACTCTCCCCACAACTTATTCTAATAAGAAAAATTATTAGTTATGGCTTGAACTTTGAAACTATGTATAACCGATCTTTATGTGTAATCTGTTTATGTTCTTTTTATTTTTTGTTTAGCTTAAAAACTGTAGTTACATATCATACAAAGATTGGTTGGACTTGGACCACACAATCACACACCATACAATAATTTCTCTTCTCACACAGCAGCAGTAGCAGTAGGATACTTTTAAAGCAAACTGCTATGAACTAACTAAAAAGGCTAGGGTTTTCTCTTTCTTGTTGAAGAGATCATCAATTGCTACCAATTACTATTGCACCTTGTTGAGCTTTCATAGCTCGTCATGAGAAACCTGTCGTGTATCCCAACATGCTTTCGAGCTTCTTAAATTCTCAATCCAAACACCGTCAGCTATAACTGCGTCGGTGTCATTGTTGCGGTGCCACGACCAATATGCATGTGTTTCGTTCACTATTCTTAACCTTCCATGACCAAAGCTTGGCTCCCGATACAATGATAGTGGGCTAGGAGGCTTCTTGAACCTGTTTCAACAATCAACACATATGAATGCATATTCTAGTTGATCACTTGTTCCTATTTTTTGTCTCACTTAAAGTTACCTTTAGATTGAAAATAACACCTTAACTGGAAAACAAGTATAATTTATATGCAATTTTAGATATTTGTATGCACTCATCTAATACAAATTCAACTTGTCATGTCTTATTAACAAATATAATATATAACATGATAACACGATCGAATCTTATTGAATGAATCTCTTCATTAAGTAACAAATATTATAAATTAAACTAAACAAATAATAGTATGAAAAGAGAATTTTCTTGTTTTCAATAATATGTCTTTTTTTTTAACTGAAAAGAGAGGGAAGAGAAAAATAAATAAATGCAAATTAACAAGTGATTTTAATTCTGTATACGACCTCAAGACAGTATTTTAATTCTTTTAGTGAAAATATAAACAAACTAAATTTCATTATTAACATTAAGTAAAAAGTCGATCAGTGTATGTATATCTCACGTTAATGCAAGTCCCTCGCGGTTTCCTCCGTCCCCAATTGTCACGTACAACGGACCACATGGATCAGCCTTATTGTCATAAATTCGAGTCTGCAATTAATCTAATAATAATTAGAAAATGAAAACAAGTAAAAAAAACTTAATTAATCTAATAATTAACTATTTGACATTATTAATTAATTGTTGAGATATCACATTAAAGACTGACACATGAATTATTGATGTAAATGCTTTAATAACATAATGTACTACAAAAATAATATCATATCAATCGTTAATATATCATGTCAGTAATCAACTAATACATGTCAAAAAATCAATAAATAAAGTAATAGAATATGTAAAGTTTTAAAAATTAAATGATAAAATGTATAATTTTGAATGTTTTGGGGGGAAAAATTCATGAAATTGTAAAATATGAATGTAAATTAAATAAAAAATAATAATAACAATGATTAGTGAGAGCATAATATTAACATGACATACAAAGCGTTCGTAGGCATGAACATGGCCGGCAAAGACCAAGTCAACACGAGCCTCGTAAAGCAACCCCTCCATGGCTTGTCTCATGTCTTCACCTTCACCTTGATGTGCCTCATTAGTGTTATACCACGGTGCATGCAACAAGGCAATGACCCAAGGGGTCCTCGTCCTATCAACCTTAGCTAGGTCAGATTGAAGCCACGTGTATTGGTTGGAGTGTGCATCGAAATCAGTGTAAGAGGCCAACATGATGACGTGGGTGCTAGCAACCTCAAAGGAGTAGTAGAGGTTTGAGGTGGAGCCACTTTGTTTGTATGGCATGGGCCATCGAGCATTGTAGGCCTTGAAACCTTGTGGGTGGATGATGGGGAAACTCTCGATCTCATGGTTTCCTTCGGTAACCATCCATGGCCTTCGACTAGCGTATGGTTCCACCAAACGACCGAAGGAGTCCCATAGAGGTTGCTGGCTATCGGCATAGGACAGATCTCCGGGTAATAGAAACACGTCGTAGTCTTTGCTATCAACGTGTTTTAGGGTTGATGATGTCCATTCGGTTTGTCCCAAGTCCCCTATATGCATCAATAATATATATAACTGTGTTTAATTCATATATACGTTTATCAATGTTATAAAAAAATCATAAAAACAAAATAATTTGAACTTTGATAAGATTTTTTTTTTTTAAATAACAAGCAATAATTTTCTTTTAATTTCATGAGTCTTGTCTTGAATCTCTTGATACATCTTGTCATCGAGTTGTGCCCCTTTAATATTAATATTTTGCTTATAAAAAAATTATTAGGGCATTTATTTTGTATGTTGAATTTATTATTTGAATGTTTATTATTTATACTCTAGACTTAATTATATTTTTTTGTTACTCATCTTTTATTATATCACAAATTTTATCATTCAATTAAAACAACATATTTTAACATTTAATTTTTATAATTTTGTAACCGCTAATTAATTACTAACATAACACATTGACTATTAACATAATATGTTAATTGTCAACATAACATAATATGTTATGTTATTATATATATATATATATATATATATATTACATCACATCAACAATCAATCCAACATATTAATAGTTAATATATCATATCCATTATTATCACATTAATGATCAATTAACAGATGACAAAATATGTAAAATTCTTAATATGTGAATAATAAAATATATATGTTCAAAAGTAAGGCGTTATAAAATTTTTGAAATCATAAACCATGGGTCAGAGACAAGAGAACTAAGCCTATTATCATCTCCTACCCGGAGTATATATACTTTGTAGTGTAGAAAATCCAATTAAATTAATTCGCTAACGAAAGCGATTCTTGACGTAGTTTTGCCTATTGCCTTCGTATACACTATAAACCTCAATATTCTTCTAACCATATTCTCTGCCACGGCCACCTTTGCGTTGGTTTGAAGCACTCATCAAGGCATCAACTCCCTAGGGCTATCTAATCTAACAAATTAAACTCCGGTATAACTATGAAGAACACACAACACGATAATATATACCCAACCAGCCAAATTAAATGACATGCACATACTTGGAAATGAAATTAATACAACTAATAAAAGAACTATATACGAAACCATAAACCATATATATA